TGCTCGCTTCAGTGCCTGGCTGCCGGCCGCCATCTTGGCTGACAGTTAATTTGCATATACTCACTGATTAGCCAATGAAAAGGGTAGCAGTCGTACGCCAATTACCATGCTTCTCTTTTATTAGTGTAGATGTATCCAGAAAATATAAAGAACTCTCAAAATGAAATTTAAAAAATTAAGAAACTGCCCAGTCCAATGTGGCTCAGTTGGTTGGAGCACTGTCCTGTACACCAAAAAGTTGTGTGTTTAATTCCCTTTCAGGGTACATATTCAGGTTTTGGTTTGATCCTAGGTTCAGACAGAGCACATGTGGAAAGCAACTGATTGATATTTCTCACTCACATTGATGTCTCTCTCTCTCTCTCTCTCTCTCTCCCTCTCTCTCTCTCTCTCCCTCCCTCCCTCCCTCCCTCTCCCTTTTCCCCCTCCCACCTGCCATCCTCTCTAAAACAAATTTAAAATATTTTAAAAATTGGCAAAAATAAATTGAGTAGATATGGGGATAGTGAATTAGCACAGAAAAGTTGCTAAAAATCATTTAGGAAATTAAAAATTACATTGAGATGCCACTATACATCTGATAGAATGTAAATTGGCACAACCATTTAGGAAAACAGTTTGGCAGTTTTTTTAAAAAGTATGTGAGAGATTTATAGTGACAGAGAGCAGATCAGTGGTTGCCTGGGGATAGGAATAGTGCTGTGAAGGGAGGGCAAGAGGGGTTACAAAGTGACCAGAGGAAACTTTTGGGGGTGATGAATATGCTTATTATCTCAATTGTGGAGATGGTTTCAAGGGTGTTTACATTTATTAAATAGTATATTTTAAATATGTGCAGTGTATTATATATCAACTGTAGGCCCAGTGCATGAGATTCATGCCCTCAGTGGGGGAGGGGCGTGGTCCCTCAACCTGGCGTTCACCCTGTCGCAGTCCAGGAGCCCCTGGGGGATGTTCCATGCCATGGAGGAAAGAGAGGCTCCTGCAACTGCAGCTGCGCTAAGCAGCCATGAGCCCTGCCTCTGGCTGAGCAGCACTTCCTCTGTGGAAGCACACTGACCTCCAGGGAGCAGGTCCTGCATTGAGTGGCTGCCCCGGATGGTCAATGGACGTCATAATGACCGGTTGTTCCGCTGTTCGGTCGATTTGCATAATACCCTTATATTATATAGGATTGGACATCTATAAAGCTGTTTTTTAAAAAAATAAAATGGACTGTTTAAACATGTGGAAACTAAGGCTATTTGTAGCCTCTCATACAAGTGAGAAGAATAACCCATAAAACAATACAATTCACTAGGTAAAGGATAGATATTTAGGCTTTAAAACGTGGTTTTCTGAATTTTGAAAGTCAGAAAATAGAACCAGTTCTTTCTTTGACCATGATTTCTTTGTCCTATTTCTTTGAAGTCAGCCAACACCTGCCATGTTGAGTTGCTCTAAAAGTTACTGTGAAATAATGAGGTTATTTGAAAGTAAGTGTAGCTTCTTGGGTGAGGTGAAAGAACAGGTCATGGGTGTATTTGGCTATGGAAAAACTAGCCCCTGGGCCTTCTTGAAAAGGTCCAAGAGGGCAGTGTGAACTATGATATTGGGCCACCTCTAAGAGGAGATCTGAGGACAGAGGCTTTCCTTTGAGGCTGTGGCAAGGGCTGGCTGAGTGGCTGACTCTGTCCTTACACACACAGTGTATCTACCAACTCCTGGATGCTCTGGCGCTCAGCGGCTGCGGAGGTATAAACTTGGAATCCCAGCTGGAAAACGTTACTGGCATGCTGTTCCAGGTGAGTGCTGGAGGCTGCAGGTATCCTGGGCTTGGTCTTCCCCTCTTGTTTGAAGGTGATGGTTACCCCAGGGCAGGTCACAACCTCCACACGGCCCTGGGCTTTTCTCATGGTGACCGTAACTGCACACACCTCAGGCTTCCCTGCCTGGATTGTGGTCACAGAGTGGATATTCTCTATGAGGTAAATTGAATACATTTCTGTATGTTTCTGGGGGTGGAGGCCATTGTTGCTCCCTCTAAACTGGTTAAGGGCAGAGTCCAAACCGACCCATTATGCCTTTGGGAAATGGCAGGCCTTCTGCGTTGTAGCCTAGAGGAGGAAGAGGATAATTGAACATTTTGCTAAAAGGTGTTACTGTCCATATATTTGCTGGCCACTGTCTCCTTTTCTTTGGGGCTGTGTAGGTGTGTTCCTGGGTCCTATTTTCACGTTCTCCTTATGGACAAGTGCCGCACTTTTTCTGGCTGCATACCTCAGTTTCTCCATCCATGCCCAGAGCCCCAGATTTTTCAGTGCTCCCAGGTCTGATGCCCTTGGTCTCCCCACAGCTTTGTGAACGAGTGAACCCAGCAGACCCTCACTCTGTGGAGAACCGTAGCCTCGTCCTGAGGGCTTTCTTCATCCTGGGTAAGTCCACATATTTTCCTAACCCCAGGTATGGGCCCAGGGACTTTGTACTCCATGGGAGGCTAGGTTCCCAAGACCGCCTTCTTTCCTTAAGACAAGATGCAAAGTAATCCATGTAAAGTTTTCCTGAAATTCAATGAATGTCCAAGGGCATAGACATTCTCCCTTCCTTATTCCTTTTGTTACCACTCCCTTCCCCTGGGATTGGCTTCCCGTTCTCCTTTGGTGATCCTGAGCTCAGAAAGGTGATACTGTGATTAGAGCCCTGATGGTCACGAAAGAGGTTCTGACCTACTGGGAGAGCACATGGTGGGGCAGGGGAGGGAAAGGCCTAGCTCAGGAAAGCATCTGCCCACATTCACAGCACATGGTAAATGCTGGACAAACACTGGCTCTCTTTCTTCCTGCTTCTTTTCTCCAACCTAATAGACCCTAATTTATCCAGCCCATGGCATCAATGGTTTGCTGTGAGCATGATTTACTTCTACACACCACCTCCCACTTAAACATACCCCTGACTCCCTTTATTCATGCCCTCTAATAGCCAAGTTATACCAGGATCAGATGGTATCCCTATTACTAACCGCCATGGAATCCAGTGATCCAGCCAAGATGGAATCAGCCCTTCAAGCGTTCACAGATGTGTTCCAGGAATGTGAGTGGGAACCCAGCCTGGTCCTAGGGATCTTCTTGCTCAGAACATCTCCTTGCTCTGGCAGACAGTCCCATTTAGTAGTTAAAAGCACAGTTTTAAACTCGGTATAAATTCAATGGGTTCAAATCCTGGTTTTGACCCTTATTAGCTGTGCAAACTGGGGTAGTTTGCACTTTTAGTCTGTACCTCTATTTCCTCATTTGAAAAATGGAGGTTCCTTGGCTGGGTGGCTCAGTTGGATGGAGTGTCGTCATATACACCACAAGACTGTGGGTTCAATTCCCGGTCAGGGCACATACCTAGGGCACTGGTGTGTTTCCCGATCAGGGGCATATGGGAGGCGATTGATCAATGTTTCTCTCTCATATTGATGTTTCTCTCTCTCTCTTTCTCTCTCTCTCCCCTCTTTCAATAAAATAAAAAACAACATATCCTTTGGTGAGGATTATAAAAAATAAAAATGTAGGTAACATTAATGCCTGCCTACCTTTAGGCATTTTTATTGAGAATTAAAGTACAAAACATATCTTGGAGCGTAGGTTTTAACGCCAATCAAGTGTCCATCAAAACTTTGCTGTGTGCCTAACACAGTACGAGGCACAGAAAATACACACTTATATAAGACTAGAGGCCTGGTGCACAAAAATTTGTGCACTCGGGGGGAGGGGGGTCCCTCAGCCCGGCCTGTGCCCTCTCCCAGTCTGGGACCCCTCAGGGGATGACCACCTGCTGGCTTAGGCCCACTCCCCG